TTTCTTTGATCTAGCGTCACCGGAGTTTGGAAATATCTTATGGACATACACTAACTAGTTCAACGTAGCACCTAAGCTCAGTCCTATATGACATGACAACCAAAACAAGTATCAAGCAGGGAGACAAAGACAATGCTTAGCTTAGTCTACCACATATGTAGCAATAAAAAGGTAATAAATTCTCCAATGATTAAAAGGGATTAATTTGATATAAGAAGAAATTCCACACCTTAACGATGAAAAGCAGATAGTTAAAGGTCTCAAAACGCAAAATTGACTCCACTTCTTTTCTGCCGTTTTGCAGAAAGAACAATCAAAACCAGAAAAACGTAGGTGCGCGGACAAAGAATTCCATCCTTGAGAAACATATTTTTCATGGCTTGGAATCTCAGTATCACTTAGCACCAGCTCCTGAAGCAAAGGCCTATCTGATGTTGGGTTATCAGGCCCTTGAAACATCCTTAATGGCACCACGTCAAATTTTGAAGTCGGCCAGACGACAAACTCAGAATCATGGAAATCAAATAAAAGAAGATTTTTATGGCCAACTGAAGCATCTACTTCTTCAGCCTTCTCCACCATCAATTTGACCTGTGGGCCACCAACAAGTATAGCAACCTGAATCTGTCTCTCTGGATGAACTCTATGCAAAGACAGTTCAATATTGCGTCTGAAGTTCCCATATTCGTCAGAATCCCCAACTGTTACCAAAGAACTTGAATGAACCCCTCCAGTAATTTCGTCTACAAATAAGCTCTGAATCCGCAACGTCTGCCTAATTAGCAGAGCCATTGAAAACAAGGATGAATAATCTAAAACAATATCCAACTTTCCCAATACCATGCTGCATTTCCAGAGCCCAGAATCCTCGTTACCAATATCCTGATATGCCATGCAGCTTTTAATATCAACGAGTAGACAAGGTTTATCAGAAATTTTAAAAGTACTTTTATCCAACTTCAAGCAATTGCTGTTCCAGTTCGACCACATTTCTCTCAGAAGGTTTTGTAGATGCAGAATACCTTCATGTTGTTCATTGCCATGAACACGATTGTTATCTGTTTTGGGAAGTATGATTGGCTGTGCTGGATCCATTTCTAGAATAATTTTCACATCTTCACGCATGTGCTTCTTATTTCCTCTAGCAGAACTACTGGGATCTTTTGTAGATCTCACGAAATGACTGGTTCTTTTGGAACTAGAGGACTCAACCTTCAATTTCCCACAGGAAGCAGACAAACACTGAGTAAGACAGCCAGCAGTATACATGACCAAAAACTMATCCACCAAAAAGCAAAGAATGACAACATTTGAATCTGTGTATCCAGTGCTGTCTTTTGATGTCATAAAACTTGAAATCATTTTCTCGGGGTAAAATGTGACAGAAAGTTTCCCAAGATTCACAACTGCATGAAACTCAAGAGATGCTCTCTCCGAATCATCTTCATTATTCCTATCAGTTTGTAGTTCTAGGGTCGACAGTTTCTTTGACGAGAGAAAACAAGCTATAGACCAGAACGTTCTACTAATAAGTCTCCAGATATAAGCTAAAACAAAGGTGATCTTACACAAACAATTGAAGTGGCCATGTAGAGAAGAATCGTCATAACTATCATTAGCATTCTCAGAATTCAGCCAAGTTCTGTATCTGGCTACTCTCCGTGCCCGTGCGATTGCTTCAGCAGGGAGCTCTTTCTCAATATTAGAAATCATCTCCCATTTACGTCTTGCAGTTACAAAATGCCTTTTGTTTTCTGAAACTTTCCAAAGCGATGATTTCTCTGGCATTTTCCTGGAGTACCCAGCTAAAGATAGCAAACACTCGTAAGCATTCACGTATCGCAGCCAGAGGATAACAGCGCTAACTATATTCTGGAATGAAAAAGTGTGAGGTGAGATCATCAAGCCAGTTCTACGAGCAGCTAATTTCCAAAGATAACGTCCATTTCTGACAGAAGTGCTATCATTGGATGATAATTTCGCCAATCCCATCAAGACCGGAAGATCACTGGGTCTAAACGAGAAGCTTAACTCTGGAATGCGGACGATCAAATCAACAAGTTGAAGATTATGCAGTGTAATCAACACCACAAGGCTGTCAAATGCACAAAGGTCAGCAGTATCATTATTCCTCTTATATCCAATCTTGAAACCGTAGCCACTCACTGTTAAGGAACTACGGCTCAAAGGGAATAAAACTGCAGCAGCTGAACTCCTAACTAAACCATGATTTCCAGAATTCTCAGAATCACTCCTAAGCTCATTAATTTCCAAAACACAAACCAAGTCACTTGTACCCGGGAAACAAACTTGAACATTAACACCATGTATCTGAATACGGAAATGCCCGAGTATAAGATTCGAGAAAGAAGTCTTGAGCTTACTTCTCTGGGAATTTCCATCAAGCATCCTTTCCAAAATTTCATGTAAGAAGCATCCCTGTGATGTAAAATTAGCAATTGGCATTACACCAAACACAGTCATTAACTACGATAAACCAAATCATTCCCCAAAGTAGAAAATTGGTTAGGCAGAGTACCTCGGGATCAATAGACGACATAACTTTTTTAATCTCACTTGCTACAGTTTCACGCGATGCTCGCATCCTTCTCGAGCTTCCTTCCTCCGTCCCTCTAAGAAAACAAAACGCAGAAACCGAAAAACCCTAAAGAACCAACGACTTCGAAACCCAATACACGAATTCACAATTGAGCGATGAGATTAAGCTTACCTGGCCGACAATCTGACATTGACATCGCGAATTTCGATGTTAATGGCCGTAGCTGACCAAACGGACAAGTGAATAACCAAGTGATCGACAGTGAATTCTTTGAATGAGAAATTCGATCCATCGACGAGTTGATTAAGCTGAGAAACATCGAATCGAAAATTCCGCAAGGTGAGAAGCGCATCAGTAAACCCTAATTTGACCTGGAGATCAGGTTCTTCCCGAGAAAAAGTCCGCAACAGAGTACGAAGTCTCCGTCTGGCGAAATTGCTAAGGAACGTCATGCGAATTCAGGTCAAACAGATTCCCCCGTTAACGAGTTCGAAGATTCCTCCATTAACGAGTTGGAAGATTTCCAGGGGAAAAAATCACCTTATCCGGCAGAGCGGGAAAGCAAGAGGACAAAGACGAAAGGAAGCCACGAGAACGAACCCTTATAGACACGTGTCAGTCTCTTGCTTCACCGCAGGCGAGGAAGCTAGTTGTTTGCCGTTTTCTTCTTCAACAGTTGGACTACGTGTCGTTTCCAAGATTTCCCTTTA